TTTAAATTGGTCATGAACCATTGAGCTAAAAACTTCTAAAAGTAATTAATGATGTATTCCATGCTACAGATTGTGTCATTTCATGAAGACTACTTATGAAACATTGTGCTTTGGAAACACCTTTTGCAATAAATCTTGGAAAATTCTTAAAGCCTTCTTGTGGGGTCTAGTCCCATAATGAAACAAAGAAAAAAGAGATTGTGGCGTGGATCCCTGAAGAAGAAAAATCTACAAGATGCCAAAATTAGTAGTTGGCACTGAAACACATTTTTTGACCGAAATTAATTTTTGGTTACGACACTTCTTCCTATAAATAGAAGCTTTCAACTTCTCATTTTACACACCGATCTCAAAGAAAAAATATATCTGAGAGTTAGAAAGAAAGAGTGAGATTTCACAGACAGGGTATAAGAAAATAGTCTATATTCATGAAAAGTCAAACATACATAAAGACCTATTTTGATCCATGTGTATACTTCAAAAGATTTTCTGAGAATAACTTTATTATATTATTGTTGTATGTGGATGACATGTTAATTGTAGGAAAAGACAAGGTACTGATCACAAAGTTGAAAGGAGATTTGTCCAAGTCATTTGATATGAAGGACTTGGGCCTAGCAAAATAAATTCTGGGTATGAAGATAATTCGAGAGCGAACAAGCAGAAAGTTGTGGTTGTCTAGAAGTACATTGAACGTGTACTGGAACACTTCAACATGAAGAATGCTAAACCACTCAACACATCTCTTGCTAGTCATCTAAAATTGAGCAAGAAGATGTTTCCTACAACAGTGGAGGAGAAAGGGGAGATGGCTAGAGTTCCTTATTCTTCAGCAGTCGAAAGCTTGATGTATGTAATGGTATGCACCAGACCTGATATTGCTCATGCAGTTAGTGTTGTCAACAGATTTCTTGAAAATCCAGGAAAAATAATATTGGGAAGCAGTCAAGTGGATATTGAGGTACCTGAGAGGTACCACACGAGATTGCTTGTGTTTTGGAGGATCTAATCCAATCTTGAAGGGCTACACAGATGCTGATATGGTAGGTGATCTTGATAATCGTAAATCTACTACAGGATACCTGTTCACATTTTCGAGGGGGAGCTATATCATGCCAGTCAAAGTTGCAGAAGTGTGTTGCACTCTCTACAACTGAAGCAGAGTATATTGCTGCTATTGAAGCAGGCAAGGAGATGGTTTGGCTGAAATGGTTCCTTCGAGAGCTTGGATTGCATCAAAATAAGTATGTCGTCTATTATAACAGTCAAAGTGCAATAGACTTGAGCAAAAACACCTTGTATCATGCAAGTACAAAGCATATCGACGTGAGAGATCATTGTATTCGAGAAAGAATAGAGGATGGATCTATACAGGTCAAGAAGATCCATACAAGTGAGAATCATTCGGATATGCTGACTAAGGTGGTATCAAGAGACAGGTTCGAGCTATGCAAAGAACTTGTTGGCATGCACTTAAGCTATAAGTCCGGTGTTACCTCTTTCATGTGAATGGGTCTGGAGGGGGAGATTTATGGGGTCCAATCCCATAATGAAACAAGGAAAAAAGGAGATTGTGAGGTGGATCCCCGTAATGAAGAAAGAAGAAAAAGATTGTGCGTTCCATCCCCATAATGAAGGAAAAAAATCTGCAAGATGCCAAAATTAGTAGTTGGCACCGAAACGCATTTTTTGACCAAAATTGGTTTTGGTTACGACACTTCTTCCTATAAATAGAAGCCTTCAGCTTCTCATTTTACACACCAATCTCAGAGGAAAAATATATCTAAGATTTAGAAAGAAAGAGTGAGGTTTCACAAATAGGGTATAAGAAAATAGTCTATGAGAAAAATAGAGAGTGAGCGATATTGTAGTGAGGTGGGAATATCAAAAGAGAGTTATTTCTTTTGAGTGTTGTAGTGGTGTTTGGAGTATTTTACTCGGACCTACAAATCATAAAATTTCTTGCTATAGTGATATCAGTTGCTCGACTCGGGGCCGTGGTTTTTTTCCTTATTCAAAAGGGTTTTCTACGTTAAAATCTTGGTGTCGTAGTCACTCTTTTATTCTTGTTAATTATCATATCTCGGTGCTACGTTATTATTCTGCTTTTATTACTGTGAATATTATTTCTGTAAGGGGCTTATTCCCAACACTTCTGTCATCTGTCCACTTTTGCAATACATACCTATTAGCTGCGGTTGTAAGACATGTTCTGGAGGTTCAACTAAAAAGTAATTCAACTTTGTAAGTATCGCACAATATTACTAGAATGAAATAAAATAGACATTTCAAATTTAAACAAAGTTTAATGACTTTTTTATTAAAAAAAGGATTTTTACATTCCTATACATTATTTGAAACCTTATTGCCCTCCCTGCTCAAGTTTTAATTTAATTACATGGTCATATACAATTTACCAATTATATACAAATAAGTTTTAAATGAGTATCCCTTTATATTAGGAATTGAATAAGGAATATCAATTATTTCTTTATTCCTTTATACTTGTCCATTCTCTCTCTTTGTGTCTCTCTCTGCTTTTTTCAGTGTATCCATCGTCTAGCTTTATTTCCAGTATTGTGATCTTAATAAAAGAATATGATATCTGGTAGTGAAACTTTCACACTTAATTGGTTATTATAAAATTTAGAGTTCACATAACAAAAATTACAACTCATAAGTGCGGATTACAAACATTGAAAAGAATTATTAAATTCAAGACGAAGATATTGTAGTAATTCATCAATGGATTTCTTGCTGTATAGAGTTTCCATCATTAACAACCATTAAAAAGCTTTGAAACTTTGAAATTAAATTTGAATTTTTAAAAACCATTATTTGTTTGGATTGGGTGTTGTTGCAAACAATTGAGAATATTGTTTGGAGTTTATATCTCAATTTTGAGGGTGTTTTGATAAAGATTAGACTTGATTTTGGCTTAGTTTCAGATTGAAACTCGAAAAAGAAGAAGAAGAAGAAGATCTGGCATACAATATACTTACGAAACTGTAGTAAAATTATAGGTAAATTATATTTCGTTGTAGTTATATATATTTTTTTATTTGAATATTGTATGAAAGTTGAAAAATAGTTGTATTATGTATGAATCGTTGTATAAAATTTGTATTTAAGTTATCAATACTATCTTTTTACATAAAGTTATTAATATGTATCAAAATTATATTAAGAGAGTAAGTTTTGATTGGAATTTTAGAGAGGAAGAAGCATACACCACACACAAAATATATATAAATCAGATACAAAATATACAAAAGACATATTATATAAAATTTGTATAATAATTATATTTGAGTTGTATAATATTGTAGTTATATTTAACTGGGTAGAAATAATATATAAAAGTTGTAGATAAATTGTAGATTAGTTGTAAATAAGTGTATACTGTATAGTTAGTTGTAATTCAATATTACAAAATCAAATGCAATGTGACTAATTCAATATTACATTCCAAGCCGCAATTGACTATAATTTCATTGAGGATAAAATTTGATTATGTAATTTGACCAAATAACTTGTGAGTATAATTGTCAAAAATGTCGATAAGTTCAAAATGTCTCTGTGCCAATTTTCAGTACTTGTACTGAGTATTGCCATTTGTCTAAGTAATAAGGAGCCCTATTTTCAAGTTGGTTACGTGATAGACCTGCAGGCTTTCGGTGCTTATGATGTAGTTTTGATTTCCTCCGCGTTACGAAAAGTAATGCATATTTAAGAAAATCAATTGTGTTAAGTTGATAGCATAATCAGGTAAATATTATTCGTTAAAAGACATTTGCTAAAGAAGAATTTCGTGATGCTTAATTGTGTAAATATTGGAGTTAAATACCAAGAGGTGTTGTTATGTCAAATATCACCAGTTTCTCAAATTATACATGGGAAGGCAACTAGATTTTATCATCATACAACTATTTTTCAACTTTCATACAACATTCAAATAAATAAAAATATATATAACTACAACACAATATAATTTACCTACAATTTTACTACAATTTCGTAAGTATATTGTATGTCATGTATTCTTCTTCTTCTTCTTCTTCTTCTTCTTCTTCTTCTTCTTCTTCTTCTTCTTCTTCTTCTTCTTCGAGTTTCAATCTGAAATTCAGCCATAACCAAGTCTAATCTTCACCAAGCACCCTCAAAATTGAGATATAAACTCCAAACAATATTTTCAATTGTTTGCAACAACACCCAATCCAAGCAAATAATGATTAAAACCCAAATTCGAATTCAAAGTTTTATGATAGATTAGTGTTCGAATCTTCAATTCCTACGACCTGGAGGTTACTTCAATAGGTTGATTGGCAGAAGACAAGTTTTAGGCTTACCTTATTGAGAGAGAAAAACGGTGAGAGAGAAATTTGAAGAAAGAAAGAAAAATTGATGAGAGATGCGGCAGTGAGGAAAGAGGAGAGGAGAGAAAAAAGAAAAATGATATAACTAAATCCCATAATTCAAGGCACTAATAATTGATTGCATATAATTTGTAAGTAATCTTTATTAAGGGTGGATAATATATAAAACTAGGATAATTTTCGTAAATAAGTTTCAAATATTGTATAGGAAGGAAACAATCCCTAAAAAAATTATTTAGTGAATATTTAGACAAAATTCAGCTATGTTTTCCTTAATAAAAACATTTTAGTGACTTTAGCACAAATAAATTAAACGTTGAGTAACTATTCATGATATTATACCTTATAAGCTAAATAAGAAATACATCTTTCAAAATAATTTAAGAAAGAAGGATAAACCTATAAATCAAGTAGTATACTTGCAAATTTAACAAAAATATAACCTCTAATCATTTGTTCCAAAAAAGAGCTCTATTGTATATTTTTAGTTGTTTTCAATAATAATTGCCCATATAATATATATATATATATACACTTTTTAGCCAAATACCAATTTTCTATTTTGCCCTCCCACGTCTCGCAATTTAACAAAAATATAACCTCCTTTGCACTATATTTGTTCTTTTGCTTGCACGATATTTGTTCTCTTGCTGTGTTGTGGTCTTTCTTGCAAAATGCTATGCCACCAGCTGTAACCAAACCATAACACTCATTTCACTTCATTTTCCTCCTCCCCAAAATCTCCCCTTCTTTTCTTTCCTTTCTCTTTTCTGTTCCAAATCCCATTCCTCCTCAAGAAAATTATGCCCAAAACCACTTTCAAACACCTTCTAAATTTAACACCTTCTTCACAGTTCAGTACCTCCCTAACCACTTCATTCATGAGAAGCTAATCCCAAAATCGTGCAGAAAAGAAAGTTGCAATCTTTACTCCTTTTTTTCAATAATTCTTCCCCAACTTTTGTGAGGGAAAAAAAGAAAGAGAATATGTCTGCTGCTGTTAGTGGGGCTCTCTTCCCCATTCTATTCCTAGCATTCTTTATAACTTTCAATGGAGACAGAATTTCCCATGTAAGTTCTTATATTCTCTCTTGATAAAGAATCTTGTTCTTTTTTTGATAAAGAATCTTGTTGCTTCATAGATTCCGTCAATTTCTTGTGTGGTTAGTTGTCATGTCTTATAAGAAAGGCCGTAAAGATTGAATTTTTATTGAAGATAGAGCTTTTATCCTGCTGCTATGTGTTGCTAACAGCTCAGTCTTAAAGTGTCTAAAACTGAGGTTAAAATTGTGTAATGCTTATCTAAAAGCTTAATTTTTATTTATTTAATTATGTCTCTATCTCGTGCAAGCCTTATTCTTTTTATAGGCCAAACATGTAGTAGAAAGTCTTTTTGATAATGGGCGAGATTGAGACTTGAACTCAGAACTTTTACCTAGTCTTAAACTACGTGATCGTTTCATATAAAAGTTTAGGTATCTCAGTTAAGTTGTTAGAGAAACTATACTTTTGTTTACTTAATTATGTTTTCAACTACTTATTGTAGCAATGAAACTGTAAATGTTCAATTTTTATAGAGGATTGTACTAATTTTTCTGGTGTTAAATGACTTTTGTAGGCAAATGGGATAGTGAAGGAGTTGATAGGAAATGGTAGTATGGTGGCAGCAAAGCCTGAAATGGTGCCACTAATTGAGGAGAAGATGATGTTGGTCATGCTAAATGAGAGTAGGAGGAAACTTGGCAGCTTTCAGATTTGTTCACTTTGCACTTGCTGTGGTGGGGCCAAAGGCTACTGCTTACCCTCTCCTTGTTGCTATGCCATCAATTGCAACATCCCAAACAGGCCCTTTGGTTTCTGTTCTTTCACTCCCAAAACCTGTAATTGTTTTGGATGCCACCTCTAACTCTAACAATAATAACAACAAACTCAGTGTAATGTAATAAGTAGGGTTTGGAGAGCGTAATGTGTACGCAGACATTACTCTTGTCTTGTGAAAGTAGAGAATTGTTTCCGATAGACCCTCGACTCAAATCTAAATCAAAGTATTTCTCTTTCAATGAAAGTATAGGAGAATTAGATCTTTTTGGTCTTCGATTGTGTTTGAGGGTTTGAAAGGCACTAAAATATATGTTCATAGATTTTATTTGTTTATAATTATTTGGGAGCAGCTATTAAGATTTTGCGACTTGATGTTTTGTGCCCTAGAAACTTCTCATTAGGCTCGGAGTTCTTATTGGGTGATGGTCTAATTTACTAGTGGCAACGAAATTCTTGATAATTAGCAAGGAAATAGAATGATCTTGATTCATTTCATTTATCCCGTGCCTGTGGTGAAGCGGAATTGACAACAAACGAAGGGAAAAAGCTTTATTTTGCTTGTTGTTAGCTTAAGGGTCGTTTGATTGGGAAACAAGTTATACCAAGATTAATTATTTCGGAATTAGTTATTCTGTGATTGTTATTCCACCCTCCCATAGGGATACAAATAGTTATATTGCGATTTTATCCCAATCAAACGTGGGATAAACTCATTTCAAATTTAATTCCGAGATTAATTATTCCTTATTTCTCGTAGCCCTTAGTATTTTTTTTTTTTTACTTTTCACTTGGGGGGAATGTTGTTATTTTTTTTTATCTAGCAAAAATTAACTTGGCTGGTGCTTATCTTTTATGGAATTTATATAGTACATACATACATGAGTGTGAGATGATAAACTTTACTTAGTGGGGTTGATTATCAACATTGTTACATACATATATATCAATGTTATCAACATTGTAAAATAATGTTCTGCTTTATCAATGAGGCACTCATTACTGGGATTAAGATATGTTTCTTATCTGAATGTTTTGTCCACTAATCATTTATTTACTGTGACAGTGTGTGTAATTTAGTCAAACTTTAATGCATAATGTGGAATAGCATTGCAAAACCCATTTTGTTGCTGTCAGTTTGTCAGATTAATATTGCTTTATTGACCCTCTTGGTTATGATTATTTCTCTTTCTGCAGAAGTTCTCTAAGCAATTTACTTACAAGAAAAACGTTTTCTTAGCAATCTAATTTATCTTAAAATGTATTTTGTGGTTTTCTTATCCTTTCTCTTCCATTTTTTTTAATCTTTTGACTGGAATCTACTATAGAGTCAATACTAAACTTTGGATTAGGGGTGTATATGGGTCGGGTTGATTCGAGTTTTTTAATTGCTAAATCAAACCAATTATGTCAGATTTTTAAATTTATAAACCAAATCAAACCAATAAAAGTCAGGATTTTCGATTTCATTTTCTCTCGGTTTTTTGGTTTTCTTGGGGTTTTCGGGTTTTTTTCCCAGATAAAATCTTCATTGCGCAAAACATATAACTTGTTTTTCAAATATTTCTTTGGTCCTTATAGGATAGAACTATACAAGGTGTTACTCAAGAAATTAACAAAAAATACTGTGAGATAAGTCATGACATTATACTAAAATATTTAACAATAAAAATAATAAAATCGCATAAAATAGATTTTGCTAATTAATAAGCCATAATGAAAATGAACATAACCTCAAAATACTAGTAAGTCATACTTAAATAAGCAAGTACGACTAATAAGTATTAAATATTAAGTACATGACTAAACAATAAAAAAAATAAGTTATGCATTTTCACTGTGTAAACCAATGTAAAACTAAAGAAATAGATACCTAGCACTATTATCATTCCTAGCATTGAATGAATTTTTTATTTATTAATATTAGTATTGATTTAATTTTGTTTTGGGCTTTATTTGAGTTACTAAGACTTATGGGCTATAAAATATATTGGACCATTCAAAAATTCGAAGTCCAAACTTGAAATAATACGTTAAAAGAGATGACTATAAAAAGTTTAAACAATATTTATAAATTACATTACAATAAATATTTTTATGTATAAAATATTTTAAAACTTGTTACATGTAATGGCGGGTTAACTTGGTTTTGGTTTGATATTTTTTAGTTAAAACCAAACCAATTATGGTAAGGTTCTTTTTTTCAACACCAAACTATAGTTGATTTTTGTTTTCCAGTTTATAACAACAACAACAACAATCCAGTATAATCCCACTAGTGGGGTATGAGCAGGGTAGTATGTACGCAGACCTTACTCCTACCCTGGGGTAGAGAGACTGTTTCCGATAGACCATCGGCTTCCTCCCTCCAAGAACTCCCCACCTTGCTCTTGGGATGACTCGAACTATTTCTGTTGTGGTAAATTGAGAAAGGTTGAAAGTTGAATTAGACTAGTTGTTTTACTACACTGTACTTTCTTGAAGGGGTGATATTTTTTCCTTCTTTGAGAAATGATAGCTCCCACAAGTCCCAGCTGTGTATAAAGGGAAAGACTGTGACATAACTGCCAAATCAATTTTGTTGAGAAAGACGAGCTGCGAAATCAGTTGAGCAATTAAGAATCTAGATGGGCTTTTGATATTGGAAAGAATGAGTTATTGTCAAAATAGCGACCCCAACAAGGATGTGAAAATAACATGAGTTAGTCAGTTTTCGGATTGGTAATCAAAAAATAATCGGCGTTTACAAAGTCATTAAAAATAATTATTATTTTACGTAAAGATAAAATTTGGACAAACATACCCTAGCTAAAACACGGAAAGTTCAAGCATAATATGCTAGATTATGGAACTCATGTGCATAAACTTCCAGTATATAATGCTGGAACTCCAGTACATTATGAAATTCTAGCACATTATGCTGGAATCTCATATTTAAAAAATTCGAACTCCAACATGTTAAGCTGGAATTTTTTCGGATTTTTTTGTTCAGATATTATTTTTACATTAAAAAAATGGCTGAATTTTGATTATTTTAGAATTGTGATTATTTTTGGTTACCAATGATAAATCAAACTATTTCTGACTTTCCCCCAACAAAGATGGAGGGTGAAAGCTGCGGTAGGGTTATTAAGCCCAGCTACCATTTTGCTACAATACTGCACTAGTGATAAACGTACTCCCTATAGTTCATATTATATGTCATTTTGGTAAACTAAATTTGTCTCAAAACTTTTAACGTTTTAGATTAACAAGAAGCTTTTAATTTTTTCAAATTCACCCTTATCGCTTTAGTTAGTTGAGTGTTAATTAAGCAAGACTTTTAAGAAAGAGATAAAAGGTGGTTTAGACAATTATTGTTATGATTAAGCTTATTAAATATCTTTCTTATGAGTTACTATCTTCTGTCAACTTAAAGGGATTTTTGGCTCTTTTACACATATTAAGAAATTTACCTTTTAACATTAATTAATAATAAAATTGACCATATTAATCCTTAATTTGCTCATTAAAAATATAACAAATTACTCTAAGCTCTTTCCTTCCGTACAAAGAAGTATATATGGAAACTAATTGACCTTGTGTTGAATGATATTGTTGAACAACCCATGTGACTTGTGGCATGTGCTGCTTTGGGACAAAGAGGAAATTTTGCAGCTTACTTATTATTTACTATTACTAACATTTACTTTTTGGTCCTAATTTATGTGACATACTTTTCTTTTTAGTCTACAACAATATTAACTATTATCACGCCTCAATCCCAAATAAAGTTACTTTCTTATTTTGAAATAATTTAACTTTAAACTTCTCATTTTACTTTTAATGTGATGTTTTATAGCCACACAAATGTCTATGATTTATTTTCGACCATGAATGTTACAAGTCTTATTCTTGAATTAACTCCATGTTCGGTCAAATATTATCACAAAAATTGAAGCGGAGGTAGACATATAGGAGTCCGGAACCAAAGTGTTATTTTTTTGGACTCAAAGCACCAAAATAGGTGAAAAATAACTTGTGACCATTTTATGTATAGCGCATGAAATACATGCGCTATACCTCTTAATTGACTGGCCCACAATAGTTGGAGGGTATAGCGCATAAATTAAATGTGTGCGTTATATATATAGTGCATTTAATAAATGTGCTATACCCTCCAATTATTGTACCTCTCGCACAGATTTTTTGCTTATTTAAAGAGTTTTATTCTTTCTTCAAAAATTCATTCCGAAAAATTCATTCTTCTACATCCTTTTTATTTTCCTTACTCATTCAAAAATATTTGTTTACTTAACTTTTNAAGATTCTCGTAGGGAATAACTCAATACACTATAGTTGTTCTCCACATTGTATTGTTAAGTTGACACTCACATTGCAGTACGATAGATTGGTATCGTTGATATGTAAAAGAATGAGTGTGAGAAAACGTTCGGTTAATATTAATGTAACCGAAAATATCTATATTCGCTTACTCCGCAAGGGGTTGCTTGTTATGTTGAGTTCAACATCAAAGATGATGAAACTCTAAAAGATTTTTTGAGGACTCCGTATGAACACCGAGAATTTCTTGTGATAAAAATGCCGAAAATGTACGTCAAGTCTGTAGACGTCTGCAACATTGAGGTTTCATAAAATAGGGATAACCCTTAATCATATGGTGGTGTTTTTGGAGTAGTTTTATCCGAACAAGTTCCGTTTGAAAGAGTCTGGCCAGATCTAAACTTATCTCTACGGGTAAATGAGGAGCGAGGACATAATTTCTCCCCAAGTTTACATAATTCACGCGCCGAGTGGTAAATTTCAATTTTTCTTTTCTTAGTATGATTTTTTTATGTATCATATTCGTACTAACACTCATATCTTCCAAAGGGGGTACCAGCCAGATATGAATTTTACAAGTTATGTACCAACCAACAGTTGGAATATGCCTAATTTTGGTGGTTTGGATCATGCTGGTCCATCCGGGAGTCATCAGTAACTCGATAATGTGCATCATGGGCTATCAACCGATTATAAATTGTAAGTTAAGAGATACAGTTAATATATAATGTTGGGATGACTTTGAGAAACTCATTATTTTATTGGTTGTGCAGTGATAACGAGCAACATGAAGGTCCTGTCCTTACTCAGTTGCCCGAAGATGATATATTTAATCAGGATCTGGCAGATGCACAGAGTCAGGAAGATAATAGTGATTATGACAACAATGCTGATGAGTCTGGAGATGATACACCCTTCCCTAATGAGGACGTGATGATGAGGAAACGCACTTTG